TACTTTTTTAAAATAAAATATTGTAAAATCTCATATTCATGACTTTTACTAAGTTTAATTGTAACATTGTATAGAAATTATCGTAAAATTAATCGAATAATAGACAATGTTAATCATCCATCGATTAAACGATTCATGTATTGCATCTAGATAAAAAACTATAATCTCAATGAAATATAATAGGTATATGAGTAAAGATTGAAGGATCTCTCTATATTCGACTCTAAAATTAGACAGATGCAAGAAGTAGGGAGATACCGAGACAGGACAGACCGCAGAAATCGGTTCCGCGGAAATCAAATCGCCAGGTCTTTCTTTCCTTTTTAAGCAGCTGATCGGCGAACGATTGTCCGTGCCGACCGGAAACGGACAACATACCTCGCGGAGGATCAACGTGCAACGATTCAAGCGGATTAAAGCTGACAATTACAGGGAGTTGGCAAGAGGGAGGGTGGTACTTCCCCTTTTCCTTTATATTACAACAGTGTACATACTATCCGCGGCGGTAGTTTAGATAGATAGGTGGGTAGGTTCGCGAATGAGTCAGGTCATGCTAGGTTAGATTGGACGTTGTCTCCGTACACGTATGCACTCACGTATGTGCATACTATCCACACACATATACCTACGTGCGTATATGAACAACGACATACCATATGTGAGCCGCTGCTGCACGGCCAGCGTGCGTGGGTGGACGCAGGGCATTGCGTGTGCGTGTGCATGTACGTGTATACACGCGTGGAGAGAAGGCATATGGTCAGCAGGTGAGACCTTCGCTTTGTATTCCAAGTGTATAAAGTAGCCCATTTCGAGTGGCCCGACGTTACTCACGAACGTAACTCATGATAAAAGGGAAGAGAGAAAGAAGAAAAAAAAAGAAAGGGTTGCACGCCGGCTCTCCTCCTGAAATGTTAACGATCCCTTCGAGCATCAGCATCAGAAGGAGACCTGCCGGCGTGAGGTACAAACCCATCCGTCGCGATTCGAATAACAGAAAAACGAGGTCGTGCATTTTTCATGTGAGAATCCCGCGGCGAGTCACCTTGGCGCAACTATGTCAAAGATGACTTGTCAAAATAAAACAGATACGAAATAAGATTCGAAACAGTCTCTTATCACGCGTTAATAAATCACATAGATTGAAAATAGTCACGATCTTTCTTTGTCAGATTTCGCTGCATTAGGGAAAGAACGCGGATAGGATTTAATAAGTAATCCGAGAGTTAATAAAAAATGGTGGATGAGGGAGACAGACGCAAAAATATGAATATCGCAAAGAGTAAAAGCGGAGAAGTAGGGCGGGAGGAGTAGAATCGGAACGAGATGCTCCTAAGGAAATACAGTGGGTGTCATTTGATATATTTTTCCATTATTAAGGACATTAAGTCGGCGGCCTGCGGGCCAACTCTCTTCTTTCCGTTTTCTTCTTCCTCTTTCCATTTCTCTTTGCGGGCCCTGACGCAACCGCGACTTCTTTCTTTCTCTCTTTCTCTTTTTTTCCCGCGGTTGGCGACGGTAATAAATCAGAAAAAAAGATTCAAACCGCCAGTATGGTCGGGCGTCGGGACGCAATTTTCCGTCTGCCAGGAGATAAAAATTTGATTAATGATCGCGTAGTTTTAAAATTTAAGAAAGGCGCGGCATCTTCGCCGAACTCTGACGAAAAATTCCCACCGAGAATAATAGTCGATATTGTTCGTACTGTATCGATGTCTGTGTCGAAATCTTATGATTGTCTCATTACTTTCGAGAACCAAAAAATAGTAGAACCGTTTCTATAGTATTTTATAATTTAATTTATAATAATGCATTTGAAATTAAAAAATCGTCTAAACATTCACAATGTATACGTTTTATTCCTATGAGTCATTACGCAATCTAAACGTTAGTACGTGAAAAAACATGATAATTGTCTATATACAAAGTATTCTTACGACAGCAGTAATCGAGTCTTGCAGGATCGCAGCTTTGTTTGTATTCTCTAAGTTTGTTTCTATTATTGACAAATCTCACAAATCTTTCTATACTTCTCAATAACATACAGATTGACAGTTCGTGCGATCAGCTTATGAGAGTAATGACCCAAAATTCGCTGGATTTAAACGACTTCTGCTTAAAGTGTTTTCGTGAACAGCAGTCCTTGATTCGTTAAAAAACAATAATCATTATATCTATCTCGACGTTAAACTAAGTGTAAATCAAATCAGAATTAAAATTATTTAATCATAAAAATATTTAAAAATTTCGAATTTCTAAAATCTCATAAACACAAAGGTAAAGAGTCGTTTGATGAGCGAAATGTCTTATATTCGATGTTTAAAGAAAAATCTCGACGGGACACTTGAGACAGTCGTTAAAAATTCGCGACGCGACTTTGCCTCAGCATCAAACCATTTTTTCACGAACCCTTCTGTCACTCCCGGCTCCCGGTTAATCATCGTGAAAGTCTGTTTACGAGGGGCAAGGAATTCGAAAGGGAAAACTCGTGTTAGCAAGCAAATTACACCTTAAAAATATCGAACAAGTTGATTGAGATTACACAATCTACATATACAAAAATATATACTCGAATAATAGATGCAACTCTATTTTTACATAAATTAAAGAAATTATATTAATGTATTTATCTCTAATATATATTTAATATATTATTTTTAATTTATGTTTTTAACATTACTTTTCTTCATATAAATTAAAATAGATATTAATACGTACATTATCTTTACTATATATTCAATTATTTCTGTTAATATATTCAATGTATTATTTCAGTCAATAATTTTTTAATACCTCTCTACCTATACTACAAAATCGATGCAAACGCGTCCCAATACTCGTATCAGCATACCGTTCGTACATCGATTAAACGGAGCCTCGGCGTTCACAACATTTACCCCCCTTGAGTGAACCGCAAAACAGGAGCAATTTCATTCAAATCGGTGACGAACAACAGCCGGCCGACTGTGTCCGGGCGAAGGTAGAAAAAGGCGAGGAAAAAAGCGCGGAATAAAATCGCGTCGGGCAGCCTCTCCCTCTCCCACGGGGATTAAAGAGTCCAGGGATGCCCAGCGAGCGCTGAGATTTCTTGTCGTCACCCCGTCAAGTATCCACAGTCATGTCGAACGGCGAACGAGGGGAAAGGATTGAACTCGCGGAAACTTGAGAACCCCCGGTGACAATTTCAATTCTCTCTTCGTCCTGCCCGGCCGTCTCTTCCCCTCTCGCTCTCATGAAACCTGGCGCTCTCTTCTCGTCGCGAAAGGGGTGACCTAAGATTCTTAAAACTTCTCACGAGATTTTTCGATTTTAATTACAGTTTTAACATATTTTAATAAAATCCTCTGCCGTCTTCGCGAGTCCATCCGTCCATCTCTTTGCCTTTCTCTCTCCTCGCTACCCTCTTTAATTCCACCAAGTTTTCGGCCCTTCCACTACCTCATGCCTAAACGAATTCTACTCGCCCGACCACTCTTGCTGCGGACTGTACGGTCTTAACGTTAACCCTTTCGTTCGTTCACCTACACCCACACCCGCGACTGGCGCAACACCTGTTTCCCGAATGAGGAGAACCCGAAATTGAACGTTCCTGCGCCGACTATGCAGCCCGATCTGCCGTTCTATTAGTTTCGGTTCTTCCTCACCACGCTCAGGAAGAATCGGAGTAGTGATTGAATTGCTCTCGTATGTACCGTCGTGCGATTCTCCATATTTGCGAACGCGATATTTTGAATTCTTTTCTTGAGATTCTCGTTGTCGAAATCGATGAAGCGGATAATAAATCGTAAGCACCAAACAACGAAATAATCACCTACAATTGACAGAATGTTTAAAAACACGTAATGGATTGAATGTAAATGTACTACAGATGTACTAAATATATTGCAGAGATCGTAAAATTACATGTTCAATCATGTTGCATTCATGTAAAACATATGCGTGCGCGCTATAACGATAAATCTAAATCAGGCTGAGAAGGAGCTAGGTTACAAATTTCATCGAGTTCCAAGTTCTCACGCTGGTTTCAGAATTGGAGCTTATAGTATCGGTCAGTAGGTCAAGTTGCACCGCACCTTCGTTCCGCGATTATAAACGTTGGCTCTCGGCCTTGCAGTACCACGACCTTGGTAACTTCTAATCGCCAAGTTCAACTACCACTACAACTCAGATTAGACAATATATAACACCATAATACAATTTCGCGCGTCTCCTCGATTTATAAGTGTTATAATTTCGCCTTAATATATATATATAAAAATTACAAACAAAGAGATACGAGGATCAATTGAACCGCACGTGTTATGAAATTTGTGCCGAAACTGTGAAAAAGAATATAATATCTTAGAACATTTTTACTGTTAACAAGAATTGCAAAAGTATGTGTGTGTTTCTTCCCTACTGTTTTTATTTATGGTATTAAATATACACTGTTTAATTTATAGATTCAAATTTAATCTAATTTAAATCACCATTGCTTCTACTCAATAAATCGTTATTTTTTTACTAAAACAATGGATAAATTTGACACTATACATACAGTGTCAAATTAACACTACAGAGTGTCAAATTTATCCATTGTTTTAAAAAATAACAATATATTGAAAATAACAATATATAGAAGCAATGGCAACTAAAATTAGATTAAATTTGACACTATAGATTTAACAGTGTATTATTTCATTGAACTTATTGTCATTTAAACGATTCTTCTATGTTAATAAAAATTGGTTTTTTACAATATAATATTCTTTATATTTATTATGAGATTTCCTCGCTTCTCGTTTACTTTTCAATATAATAAATATTTTTAAAAGTTTTTAAATATTCAAATCTTTTACAAAACAATCAATATCCGAGAAGACGAAGTAATCTCTTCAGTTTCGGCAATGCGAAAACGATGGCGATCGACTACGAAATGTGCGGCGGTCAGGGTCGATCTGCCATCCTCCGTTGCTCGGTGAAAAGTACAGCGTACCAACTAACCCCGGCAGTTCTTCTCGCAGATCTTCATGCACAAGAGCGCGATGCAGATGCACGCGAGGGAGCTGGGCGCGGGTGCACTGACGGCGAGGCCCGGCGGCGGCGTCGCCGGTGGTTTGGCCGGTCTGGGTGTCGGTGTCGGCGTCGGCGTCGGACCAGGCGGCATGATCACCAGCAACGAAGTTAAGCCGCACCAGTGCCAGCAGTGCCTCAAGTCGTTCTCCAGCAATCACCAACTCGTGCAACACATCAGGGTCCATACCGGCGAGAAGCCGTACAAATGCAGCTACTGCGACCGCAGGTTCAAGCAGCTCAGCCACGTGCAACAGCATACACGACTGCATACGGGTGAGTGGCTCCCTTGTTCATTTGTTGTTGTTGTTAACAACATCGGGTCGGCGCGTGAGCTTTTTCCTCGATTACGCCCGATTAAAGTTGACCGCCGCGTAATCGGCACCGCCCGTAAATTAATGCAGAATAATATGCGTTAAGCTCTGGTACCCCACCACACCACTGCCCAGGGCTCGTCGTCGTTATAGAACTCACGCCGAGTTATTGGTCAATAAATTAGTGCACGAATATATATTGCTGTTATAGTAAATTCTATGAATACTATATCGTCCGGGCTATAGCCAATAATCAATAAATTAATATGCAGTTATTGTCTGTACGGGTAATCATGCGTCCCGATTGTGACTAACTTCAATGCGCGCCGGTGCGAAATTGCTTTGTGCATGCAACATGCGTGCAAGTAAAATATTCCTATGTTCTCATAGATACGGTCGAACGAACGAACGCATCCTATCGCCCTGCGTACTGCTCTTTCGCACCCCGCGAGGCTTCCGATATTTAGATAACAATGCATCCGCGTAGGAAGCAGCATGCGACTAAAATAACATCGACCAGACCGGATCAGGCATGAAGGATTTGCAATAATGAGAAAACCTGATCTGGCTGCAAAGGCAATCCAATGGGTCGTGTCCCGGTAGAAAGAATTTCATTAAGGGATGAGCGTAGTCACTCGGAAGGTATTAGACTCGCAAGCGAACGCCGAACGGTCAGCGCCGCGCGCACGACTACTAGCCCCTTGGAAAAATCTCGCTGACCTTAACGAAGATTTGCTTTTGCGGGGCAATGGAAAAAAAAACAAAGAACGAGGAAAAAAACGCCCCGCCTCGGGTATTCGAGCTATTTAATCGAATTGTCCGAATCCGTGCGGAGCAAACGAGAGATACGAAATCCTCAGTAACAATCGATCCGGGAAAAGGCTTATTGACAAAGTAAACGGATCCTCAACGTTTCTTTGCCGGCGTAACGAATCGTTCTCTCAAATCGTCTTCGACGAATCAGGAAGAGAATCGTCTTGTGCGATGTAGATCGTAGGATACTCGTGACTTCGCTTGAACCGAGCCTTCGTACACCGAACAATTTATAAAAATAGATGAATTGCGAATTTGACGAGAATATCCAGTATAACCTGATTTTCCATGTTGGCGTTACTAATCTTTTTATTTATTTCCACGTCGCGCTACTTCGGCCCAACTTGTCGTTTCTTAACTGTAAATAGCAGCGAAAGAAAGACTCGCATTGATTTTAGCTGGCCCATCTCTCATCTTCTTGCTTAACATTCTCTCTCTCTCTCTCTCTC